TAACCTCTGAAACTACCCCCATTAAATGTTTTTTCTTTGCAAGAGTTGCTGTGGTCATGGTGTCTCTTCACAGCAATAGAATCCTAACGAAGACAGAAGTTTCCTCCTCAGTGGTGTGTTCCATATGGTTTTACAAAAGCCTTTGTGTTATTTGTCCCTCCCCTCACTCCTGCCTTTGCTTTTCTCTTGCCTTCTCCCTGCACCTCCTTCTTTAAGCCTCCCATTCTAGGTGCTCCTTTATCTCTCAGTAGCACTACATTCTACTTCCTCTTCCCTTGGGACACACTCTTGTTTCTCATTGATCCTTTGCTATGCATCTAACTGCAGTGGATATTTAAATTTTAGCATATGTATTAAAAGCTTAAAAACCAACATCCACATATAAGAGAAAATACACAATATTTGTAATTTTGGGTCTGGGTTATCTCACTTAGGATTTTTTTTTCTAGTTTATCCATTTACCAACAATTGCATTTTCTTTCTCTCTCTCTCTCTCTCTCTCTCTCTCTCTCTCTCTCTTCCCCCCCTTCTTTCCTTCCTTCCTTCCTTCCTCTCTCTCTTTCTTCTTTCCTTCCTTCCGTCCTTTCTTTTCCTTTCTAGACATGGTTTCTCTGTGTAGCCCTGACTGCACTGGAACTCTCTTTGTAGACCATGCTGGTTTTAAACTCAGAAATCTGTCTGCCTCTGACCACGTGCTTTAATTAACTTTAATCTCAAGTGCTGGGATTAAAGGCGTGGGCCACTACAGCCTGGCTGACTTTACTTTCTTAACGTGTATAAATATAGCACACTTTTATTATCCATTCACCAGTGGATGGACTGGATAGCCATTTTTCTTAACATATAGGGTTCCACTTAGAATGGGACCTAGACTTCAACTTCTTTACAGAATGAATTTGCATGGAAAACTACTCAGGTATGCTTCACTAGGAAAGCATAGGAAGCCATCCAAAGATTCTCGCCCCGGTTAATTGTCTCTAGCAGAAATACTTTAAATTGGGGCTATGAAAGATTCCAGCTACAATGATGAAATGGATTCAGCTCTGGAGGAAACCAGTGTTATGGGAAACAGGGAAGGGTCTTTATACAACTTTATAATTTTTTTTGAGACTAGTGGGCACTGGTTGCTCAGTGGCTGAGAAGATGCTCTGAAGACTTTTCTCCCTAAGAAAGAACAGCATCATCAATTGGTCGGGTCACACATTTCAAGTGAGAAGGATAAAGAGCTAGGGCAGCGGTCCTCAAACTGTGGGTTGAGACCCTTCTGGGGGTCAAACAACCCATTTACAGGGGTTGCCTAAGGCTGTCGGAAATATCAGCTATCTACATTACAATTCATAACAGTGGCAGAATTATACTGATAAAGTAACAATGAAATAATTTTATAGTTGGGGGTCACTACAACATGAGGAGGTACATTAAAGGGTCTCACACAGCGTTAGGAAGGCTGAGGACCACTGAGCTTGAGGGAGGTGGGCTGAGGGGTCAATGGGTCAGCATCCTGAGCCTACTGTGTGGCTGATCAGCACTATTGTGAGTCAGGTTCCCAGAAGCTCCCAAGTCTGTCCATTCTGGGGGCTGGGTCCAGTGGGAGTTGGCTGTTTAGAAAGTTGCTGTTTCTTTAAAACAAAACAAACAAAACCCCTCTTATTGTCTCTCTGTCATCATGCTTTGTTCTTTCAATTTCCTTTTCCCTCAGTATGCTCACTTTTCTGTCATCAATTCCACTCCATAAATCTATGCTTTCCTGAACTTTGATGGGCACCTAGCAGATGTTCGCTTGGCAAATTTTCTCCATTCTGGTAGTGAGCTCCTTCTGTGTGCTTCTGTGTGCTATGGATTCCCCATCCCCATTGCCAACTCTTCCTCTGTTATTCTTATGTTGTTTATCATCTTTAAATCAAGAGAGGTGAATGTCAGCCGGGTGGGTCCTGCCAGGTTCCATGTGCTGTCTGCCAGCATGCTGTCTGAATCCTCGCAGAAGCTAGAAAACCAGGGAAGATGTAAACATTTGTACTTGCTCAGGTTACTTTGTGTGTGAATTCTTCTTGGGGTCCGCTGCCTTGCTGACTTCCTCTTGACTATGGTGCAGAGCTTGGGGTTCCCTTCCTGCTGCTGGTCTGTGCCTGCTGGGGGAGATTCTGAGTGGTGCTTTCTCTCTCAGGTGAAGTGTGATCTCAGCTGGAGTCTGCTTCCCAGGGCCTGGTCACCAGAGGTTTTTCACGCCTTAATTCTCTTGATACTCTGCTTTCCTGGAAGGAAGAGTGGTTAAAAATAGTGGAATAAGCCATTCTTAATCATTTCATTTGTCTTGATTAGAAGGTTTCAGCCACAAGGGCTGCATAGGTGGTGTTTATAATAGAGATGGAAGCTTGTTACAGTAATGATGTGGCTCACTTTCCAGTTCAGTTGTCCTTGTGTTTGGAGCTTCTGTGTCATTATTTCCAGTTCAGTTGTCCTTGTGTTTGGAGCTTCTGTGTCACTGGCCACTCCATAAGTCGTCTGCTTGGTAAAGCTTGTCATCAAATCCAGGTCCCGCATCCTCGAGCCATTTAACCTGAGATAAGCACACCGTGTTTGCAGAGAACTTTCCAGAGTGTGCCTCAAAGTGCTTTTCCTCTCTTCTGGAAAGCATATGAATTACCATACCTTGCACTTGTTCACACCTATGTACAGCAATCCTTCTACACAAGCATATGGATGTCTTTTTCATTATACCACATTGTTCTCAAAAACGTTAAATTGCATTCTGGTGTGTGACAGGGTGGAAGCCTATGGCCAAGTTGAATTTTTGCTTCTTTTAAAGCAATATGTTTTATTTTCTCAAACCTTTCCTAGTTTTTTTTTTTTTTAAATCTTAGACTGGCGTATGTTGTATTTTCTCTTTTTGCTTTTCACTTTTTGGTCTGATTTTTAAAAATCTGTTCTCACTTGCTTATCTGTATTTTCCTTTGCCTACAAAAATTTTATTTTTATTAAAGCTGCTTTTATTTACCCGCCCCTGGAAGCTGTTACAGGAAGGTGGTAACTTCTGGTTTTACTAGTTATAATTCCCCTCATTATTTTTTTCCCATTTTGACCTTTGCTCTTAGGTTTGGGGATTAATATGGGTCCTAACAAAACATTTGTTCTAAATTTCTGGTAGACTCTTTATTCTCTGAGATAAGTCAAAAAGTTTTTAAAATTTGAATTTTCCCCAATTTGATTTTCCAACCAAGAGCCCAGTTTAGCAGTATCTGAGCTTCTGAGAGGGAGTTAGAGAGTTGGAAGCAGGCTTAGCTGGGACTGTATTTTGCTCAAGAGTGTCTAATCTTAGTCAACAGCAGCCAGGCTCCTTGATGCAATCTCTCTGTTCCTTGGCAGACAGGCATCCCCTGAGTGTGAATGACTGTCAGAACCTCCCGCACCAGCACCTTATCTTGTGCTGACCGTCCAGTATCATTCGCAATGCTGTGAATACATAGGTGGTGTATGAAATAGTTATGGGAGCTTCTTTCAGTAAATGTGGGGCTCACGTTCCTGTGCTGCTGTAGTTCACGAGTCTGATGGTCACCTCCACCCACAGAGACCTTCACAGATCTCTCTCTCTCTCTCTCTCTCTCTCTCTCTCTCTCTCTCTGTTTGTTGGACATTGCCAGGACAGTAGAGACTTACCCTTAATTAAATCTTTTCTGGAGTCCATGCTATTGAAATATTTGGATACTTGATATTGGGATAACCAATATTTTTTGCCCATTTCAAAAGTTGATTTAGGAATTGTTTTCTTAATTTTGAGACATTTATATAAACACCAGAAGAGTAGTGTGCAACCTGCCAAGTACTGGTGTTCGGGGGTAACCAAATGTCCTCAGGTTCCAGATTCAAAGAAAAACTTAGTCAAGTAGTTCACCTATTCTCTCTTGCTAATACAAGCTTGTGGATGCTTCGAAATCAGGAAGGTGAGACAGACTGCATAAACCCACGTACGATGGAGGTATGACAGTGATCTTAAGTGTTCTGCCAAGACTCATCTTGTCTGGGTATCTGTGAGGAACAGAGCCTTTGACTAACAATAATGACAGTAATTACATCAGTAGCATCTTACAGAATTTCCAAGAATTTCACAGTCTATCTATTAGCCCTGGCATTTGATCTTTAGATCAATTTCCGAACTTTGTTGCAAGGTGCTCTATTTTATAATCCTCAGGAAAGCCACCTAGCTTACCCAATGTGCATAGACGATGCTTTGTGAGGCAAATGTCAAATCCACATTTGACTTCCAGGTCGGTACTATGTTCTCCTAGTACCATTGGCTGCCAAATATTCTGAAGAGGTACTTGTCCTCCACACCCCGGGTACTGTGTTTTGATTGCCTGCGGGCATTGCATTGCCACCTCCCACACTGTCCTTTTCTGTTCCAATTATTTCTATGTAAGGAGAATGTGCCTCTTTCTTCCCTTGGGTGATCTGGAATCCTTAGTTTACCACCCACCCACATTTGTTGACAACTACAGTATTACTCCTCTTAGGGGCATTCTTCCTGCCTACCAGTATAATTTACTTACATCTACATTGTCCCTGGTGGCTATAGTAGTACTCCATACCCTCCCATAAGTCTTGAAATATCTGTATGCTGTAAGGATATGGTTCTCTGTAGCCACTGCTGAACAAAGTGCCTTCGACAGAGTCTCAGAGGTGTCTGATGGTGTTTGGTGATGGTCCGTCTTTCCTATATCCAATTAGAGACTAAAAGAGACATATCTGATAAAAATAAAATTATGAGCAATTTTAGATCTGACATAAAAATGAATGAGTACTTCAAAATGTTGGGTGTAGTGAGGGCCTGGATAGAGAATATTTCTGTTCTTATTTTAGTATTTTATAAATTGCTACTTTAACACTGTAACTCCCTCCTTTATTGGAATAAAAAAATCTTTGAAACTATAAAAATATATACAATCATAGTTTTAGAATTATTCTTTGATTCCTTTATTCTAATGGCGTCATCTTGTCCCCTGTAGGTTACGGTCTTTGGTCAAGCAGTTGGAACGAGGGGAGGCCTCTGTGGTGGATCTGAAGAAGAACCTGGAATATGCAGCTACTGTGCTTGAGTCTGTGTATATCGATGAAACAAGGTAAGTTAGAAAAAAGACTAAGGAAGTAATGGATTTTCTGTCCAATAGTCCCTCACCCCCAGGGCACATCTGGGGTGTGTAGTTCATATTGCTGACTCTGAAACATTAGTTTCTATGTATAGGAAAGAACTGAACAGTTGCTCCCTCAACTAGGAATTACCAACAGAACTTGCTGCATGCACAGTAAAATGGTGTCAGTGCAGAAAGGGCAACTGTTAAAAGCCTGGCAAGATTAGTATAGTCCCATGGTGATGGCTGCATACTCATTGTATCAGTCTAAAATGTGTCTTTGAATCCATCATCTGTGTCAGCATCTGGAGGTTCCTGAAGTCCCCAGCATTCCTCCTTCAGCAAACATTTCCTCTTGAATTATACACGTACTAGAGCAATTGCAGGCACTGAAATCGATTTTTGAAAGAAACAGAACTGCTTTCCTTTTGGAAACTGTTGAAATGTCGACTGTGAAAGTCTAGTCAGACAGGGTGCTCAGTGTTTGTGATAGCTTGCTTCACCAAACCCAAATCTGAGAGGATTTCACTACAGTCTATGGGTTGTTTGCTTATTTTTTAATTACTAATTTCAGGAATTTGATACCACAGTTTCTTTTCCCTTTACCTAAATGAATATATCTCAACACATGACAACAATGGAAAACATCTTTATATTGATGGTCAATTTTACTGCTTGTTTTAAATAGGACTTCAACAAATGATGTTCAGTAATTTTGGTTCTATTATAACTACTTTTTTTCCTTTCTAGTGCTCTGTCTGACTGAGTAAGTTGGGTAAATCAGAAAAGCACAGGTACAAATGGCTTAAGTCTCTGGGGTTCAAACAAAGAACTGCACTGTTTGGGAAAGTTTCCTTGAATTCAGAAGTTCATGTTTCTCTTATTGAATTAAAGGGGCATCTGTTGGCATCCCTTAAAATCACTGCTTCAGAGTACTCTGTTGTTGTGATCTGCGCAATGTTTTTCAGTCTGTAGGTATTTCACCCAATGCTGTCACTGGTTGGGTCTTAGCTTCTTACACATTTTTATACTTGTGTCTCTGGAGGACAGGCCAGTTCCAATTTACTCAAAAGAGACATCACTGTGAACTGTCACAGGCCTTGCCAAAACACTGCTGCCCCTCTGCCTGTGCGTGTCCCATTTGACATCATGTTTGTGCCTGTATTTCGGGTTGGGTGGAGAAGGGCAGCTGTTTCAAACAGATTCAGTCTCTGGCTGTGTGCTTTATCTCCAGGCGACTTCTGGATACAGAGGATGAGCTTAGTGACATTCAGTCAGATGCTGTGCCTTCTGAGGTCCGAGACTGGCTGGCCTCCACCTTCACGCGACAGATGGGGATGATGCTTAGGAGAAGTGATGAGAAGCCCCGGTTCAAGACTATCGTCCACGCAGTGCAAGCTGGGATATTTGTGGAGAGGTAAAGGTGAAACCTATTGTTACTCAAGGGCCAAACCAGTAAAAGGAACACCAGGTGCTAGGACTCCAAGCTTTTGTTTAATGTAGTTTTGATATGCTATTTATTATAAGAACTCAAATTTCTGAGTAGAAACAGGTATTCTAATCTCCATGACATCATTAGGACAAGTTTTTCCCTTTGCTCAAAATCCTCATCTTAAGATTTAGATTAAGCTCAGCCTCATTTTTAAAGTCAGAAATCATCTCATCCATGTTTTTCAAATACATGAATATCATCAGAACAAACCAGTAGGTGTTTTGAGGTCAGTGACCCAGGGAGGACAGTTTATTTAAGGGATGTGAGTTCCCTGATGTAGTGATATTTCATTTGTATTTTAATAAATAAACTTGACTGAAGACCAGAGAGTAAAACAGCCCCACTGGTCAGCCTTACAGACAATGGTAACACACACCTTTAATCCCAGTAGCTACACTAGTTTGCCATAGAAACTGGGTGGTGCATGCCTTTAATCCCAGTGGTGCACACCTTTAATCACAGCCCTATAGAGGATTATAAAACCGGAGATGACAGCTCTCAGCTATTTTTCTGAGATTTCTAGAGGCAGGATCACCATTTTGGACTGAGATCGTGATAAGAGTCAGTAGGGCTGGCTGCTTTGCTTTTGGATCTTCAGGTTGAACCCCTATTTTTCTCTCCAAGTTTTTATTAATCGTGCTTCTCCCTGTGACATAGTTTGCCAGCTTTTTCACACTGAATTATTCCTTACGAGACATAGAATCATTTCTTCTACTATTCCCTATTACACAGTTCACATTCTAGAAATTCCCTGGTAGTGATTTCAAAGTTTACCTGGGATATTTACTTGCTCTGGAGAAGTACTTCCAATGGGTCATCTACACACATTCTCTGTTCACCATCAAGTACAATAATGTACCTTGATTCTCGTTCTGCAGCCAGTGCTGGTGGAACCCATCATCCCTTTCAGTAATTTAGTGTCCAATATGGGGCACATAAACTTAATTCAGTTTTGCTTCCAGTCTCTTGTGTGTTTGAGATTGCCTTCATTTCTTTTTGACTCTTCACTAAGGAAAGACTCTAGAGTCACTTCGGGATTTAAAGTTCCTTAGGCCACCAGAAGACCTGAGTGCTCATCAGTTGTCAATATGTGTGCAGATCTATGAAGGGCTAACCATCTGTTGTAAGCGATCACATTTTGTTTTCTCCTCCATCTTTGCCAGAATGTATAGGCGGACATCAAACATGGTTGGGTTGAGCTATCCACCAGCTGTTATTGATGCATTAAAGGTAAGACCGATGAAAAGGCTTATGGGATACATGGAAGCGACTGCAGAGTACAGCTAAATTTGCTCTTAGGAAACAATATTTCGTTTCTGTACTTTTCCATTATTCCGACCTTAATCTTTCATTTTTGTTTTCTTATCTGTTCGAATAGTATCACTATTGCTCAGTCTTTAACCTTCTATTTTTTTTCTTCCAAATTAAATTCTGTGTGGACTTTGGTTTAACACAGTAATCTGCCATGATGAGATTTATGTAGCAGTAGTCACCGGAGATAAGGTGCATTATAATTAATGTATTTAAACTTAGGAAGAAACTTGTTGCTTGTAATTATGTCAATACTCAGTTGTCCACGCCAAGTCCATTTAGTAAGATTAAAAAAAAAAAGACTCAGAAAATTGTAAAAATAATAATAATGAGAGTTAATTGGAGGTGAGGCTTGGGCAGTGTCCCCAGCACATGGCACAGTCTCAGAAACCACATTTTATTACAGCATTGCTTACTCCAGAGCCCTCGTCCCTAGAGACAGTCTACTATCTTCCCAAGACCTGCACTGAGCCAGGTGCTGCATGAGAAGTCATTCAAGAACGGTTTTGTTTTAAGCAGGCTGAACCCTGCATGGTAACGCCCAATCAAGCACACTGGAAGTTATATAGATGACTTCTAAAGGCCCCACACAGAAGTGTCCTTGAGGCAGGCTGGGATGGAGTCAGATTCAGGGCTCTGGAGTGTTCCTGGTCTACTTTGGTTGCAGGGTGGGGTTGGCTAGGGCCTGGTGTCTTGTGCTGGTTGATAGTACGTACTGTCTGAATTTAGCACATGTCCCTTTGTGCACTGGCACCATGGCATTCTGACTGCTGGTATTGTCTTTCTCTGACACATGCAAGAAATACACTGTGATGAAGTTTTCAGAAGATAAATTACCTATTCGTAGAAGTAGGGGGTGGGCAGTGCTTCTTAAATAGCTTAATGGAGGAAGCAGGCCCAATGGGGACATTCTGACTGTATGCTCATGGCCTTCTGTTTCATCCAGAGACAGTCTTTGTTCTGTCTGTTTCTCCTCCTCCTTGCCTTTTAACAGCAGGAAGGACACTGTGAGGAGTCTCCCGCCCCCATGCAAATGGCCAGCCCATCAGTTTAGTTTCCTGTGATGTTTCCCAGCTCACCTGCCCGCCCGCAGAACCTCTTCATGAGACCTGCTAATGCCACAGCAAAATTGCCATTGATTTTCATAATTGAACTGAAACACTCAATGTAAATCTCAGGAGCATTAGAAGCCTATTTAAACCTATATCTCTACCTTTGTCATAAACACAAACACAAGTGGATTCACTGATATTGGGCTGTTTATAAGAGTTTATCTTCCAAATTGAAGTTTCTTTTCTACGAATAGCTGAAAACTGAAATGCGGACCAACCTGTTATGTGGATAAACTGTTATTTGCCACTGAAGGAAGGGAAACCTAAGGAGTCGTCATGGTCATTCTGAGAGAAAGACACTTGGGTTAGTCAGAGCAGGAACCAGTTAGCTCCAAATGACTACCCTCCCCATATCTGCTGGTCTGTACGTTAACGTCACAGCTTTTGCCCTTGACCCACTTCCTGTTGATCAAGAGAGTTCAGGTCCTGTGTACTAAGTAGTGTCTTTCCAGTTCACCGCACTCGCCTTTGATGGCCAGAGGACTGAAGTGGGCTGGATAGCACAGATGTAGGGTCTCTTTTCCTTCTTTGTACCTACTGGGGAAGAGGTTATTTGTACTGAGCTGCTGGCATTTATACGGAAATCACGACTGATTTTCTCTAGTACAGAAAAATTTCTCAAAGACTGAGAGAATTCAGTTCACTAAAATAACCGTGGTGGCATGTCACGTTAACCTTTGCAGTTAATGGAAGAACGTGGCATAAAATGACATCTAAGGAAGAGAATAATTAACAACTGCTCATTGGAAGTTTTAAGTGGGCTGTGTGCCACTTTTGGTACCTCTCCACTTGGTGCACATTACCTTCAAATTCCACTTTATCTCTTGCCTTTGGGGTAGCGTTCTAGAGACACAGAAGCAATCTCTTCTTCAGAAGAGTGGCTGTCCTGCGGCTCAGGACCAGCCCCTTGGATAATTTTTAAATGGGAAGAAATAAACAGTTTCCTTAGGCCATGCTAACCTGGATGGTCTCCATCTCTCTTGACGGGAATTATTCGTGGTCAACATCTGGTAAAAGTGAAAGCGTGTTTAAGGCACTTAAATTGGGTGCTCATTAAAATGCAACTTCCAGGCTCAGGATCATTCAGAGGCCCACAGCATCCTCAGTATTTTCAGCGAGTCCCTAAATAGCTTGGAAGAAGAATGAAGTTCAAGAATAACAGTTAAGATTTCCTTGAAGCAAAGGCCCATAGAGAACACCCACTCCCCTACTCATTTCCTGGGGCTGTCGGTGTCCTCCTCAGGACTGGACCAGACAGTGGCTGTGGCGACTCATAGGAATCCAATAATAGAACTCAAACAAAGTTCCAGGTTGTGGGTAAATTTTGGTGTCTCTGTCCTGAGTCCTCAATGGGTAATTGAAGGATGTGGCCTGGGTCACAGTGTGGATTCATTGGGCTTACAGGGGTCATTGGTAGGCAGTGAGGTGACATGATAGGTTGCCCGTGAGATTATTAAGTAGTTCTGTTACTGTGTGATTATGGACCCTTTGTTTCTCCCAGGTGTTGTGTGACTCTGGACCCTTTGTCTCTCCCAAGTGTTGTGTGATTCTGGATCCTTTATCTCTCCCAGGTGTTGTGTGACTCTGGATTCTTTGTCTCTCTCAGGCTGGCACATGCTGTGGAACTCTGGGGGAAATACAACTTTTTCTAGAATTGGGAGATTTGAGGACTGTGGATTAACACTTCAGCTCACAGTTTTAATTATTTTAGTGGAAGGGTAAATATTACTAAAGGAATTGAATTTACCACTAAACTTAAAATGTTTTTTTTTTAACTTTATATGTTTGTTTTTATGTGGCTTTGCCTCCATGGAAGAATTCCCAGCAGTCTTGAGCTGAACATGATGGATGGAAGGGTTAGGTGTAACAAGAGCACGGGAATGGGATTACAGGATCATTTTAGGATACCCCGAGTCCTTTGTGCAAAGTTTTTGATGCCAGAGGCACCAACCCCTGCCTTCTTCTACGTGATCTCTCATGGGTCCTCATTATCAAGAGAATGTCAGTATATGTCCTGCAACTACAGAAGGAATACCCATGATGTGATGAGGATACTAAATGCCTCTTGATTTAATCATGATTTAAGCACACATTTGTTTATTATGTCTACAAATGGCTGGTGTTGTTGTGTCAAAAGCACAGAAGAGATGTTTACGTGTATTCTGGAGCAAGTATTTGTGAACAAATATGAAATTCATGATGGCAAATAAGTTGTATGTCCAGTTCACTTTTTACATTTGCTTCTTTCACTGAAGTGTTAGAGCAAGAGGGAAAGTTTGTCACCAGATTTGTGGCTCCAGAGAGCATTTTTTTTTCTGTTCTTGGAGTGAATGTTGTCTCTTTGGTTGGATCTTGGTGGTTGAAGTTGAAGTGGAATTCCATTTTTGTCTTCAATATTATACATGCTTCTGAACACTTTGAAGTGAGTTAACAGTGTCAAGTCTGGGCTCAGAAGGTGTCATTACACAGTATGTTAGCGGGTTGGAGAGTGTCTGGAGATGTGCCCCACCAGATTTGCACTCAGAGTGACAACTGATAGGTTTGAAGGAAGGAGCCTAGAGGGGCATCAGTGGGGAAGGCACGTGTGTCCTCATCCCATTCATGTCCTAAGCGTGTGCTTCCAACAGGCCTTTGAGGAATTGGGTATCTCTCCATTTCTTCATCTGTGAAGTGTAATTAGTCATACCACCAGTCATGATGCCTGTCAATACTTCTTTTCGATAATAAAGTTCTTTGGTATTTTTTTAAGCAGTAAGTATTTTTGTAGCACCACCCTAGATGGCTACTGAGAGTTCTTTAGAGTCTTGGGCTACTTAGTCGCAGGCGTGGGCTACCAGAAGATTCAAATGTGGGTAGATTAGCGGTTGCATAGGTAAACTAATAGCTTTCTCCATGCTCTGTCCTGCAGGATGTGGACAAATGGTCCTTTGATGTGTTTTCCCTCAACGAGGCCAGTGGAGATCACGCGTTGAAATTCATTTTCTATGAATTACTCACACGCTATGACCTGATCAGCCGTTTTAAGGTCAGCACCTCATTAAAAAGATACACTGCGTACATTTATCTATCCTGATGTGACTTCTATGCCAAGACCAAGGGGATCCTTCTAAGTACATAGGAAACTGCTGTGGGCAACTGCGGACATTATTCCGGTGGGCCTGCCATAGGTGCTGCCCACCAATGGGCATTTCATCTCACTGCATCCTGATTGTGTGTACTATGGACCACTCTTGCCTGGGAGGTAGCATTGGAGACAGAGTGAGCTCAGCGGCTTCCATAAACTTTTCTCACACCATGCCACATTCAGAAAAAACTCCCACTCATCCATGACAAATCATTGGTGTTTCACAGCCGCCTGTGCTTCAGATTAATTCTTTGCCTTAAACAAAGAGAATGGATGGATCATCTCCAGGGTCAGCCCCTCAGTCATCACGCTGCACAGCCTTTTCAGGTCAGGCAGGTTCTCAAGGGAACCTCTGTCCAGTTGATCTCCCAGACTTGAAGCATCAGATGGATGGGATGTGTCTCTGGAAAATGCAGGTTGTTTTACACACAAATATTTATGACTCCAGATAGAGTTTTTATCACGTTCGTAAGGGCTATATTGGAGCTCATGCTTTCTATTTAAGAAAAATGAACATATACTATGCAATATATGTAATATGATAAAACATAAAGGACACACAAAAAAACTTAGGTTATAAAATGATTGTGAGACAGAGGTAAGCTGCCACTGGTGTGACTTCCTCAAAGTCACACTCTTTGAAAGGGGTCACTGTATGCATTTGAAATATGGGGAAGCACAGTGTGGTAGTGTGTTTGGGAAAGGAACAGGCTATGTCTTTTTATCACCCAATAGTCTATTACTGGTGGTCTGCAGTCTGGAAAGTATTCTTTTGCTAGTGAAGTGTTACAAATAGTTAAAAATCTCATAAACTGCAGTAACTCCCAGAGCTATTTGTAAGTTCCTCAACATGGTTTATGACATTGGTCCTGCATAGCATCTCTTCTGTCTTGGAACTGGAGAAAAAGACTAAAAACAGATAAAGTACAAAGAAATACAGAGCTTTAGTAGTCACTAATAATGAATAAAGTTGCCTATATGTACATCAAAAACCACTGGTTTACATTTTAAACAAAATGTCTTTGAGATGAATCTGTATAGTTTGGTTGCCTGAAGTGGGAACAAAACCAGTTTGTAACACTGACCGTTCTTCAACCAGGGACCTGGTCTTAGACTTTCAAAGCATCTGACAGTTTCACAGGGAATTTTATTAACTGCTAAACATTTTTGTTCCTCATGTGATCTACAAGAGCCCCCAAATGAGCAAAGTGGGGATCTTAAGGTTTCTCTTAAGGTAAGTCTGCCCTTTAGTGAGTGGAGCTTTCTCTTCTCTTTCAGATCCCCATTTCTGCGCTTGTCTCATTTGTGGAGGCCCTGGAAGTGGGGTACAGCAAGCACAAAAATCCTTACCACAACCTGATGCATGCCGCTGACGTCACGCAAACCGTACATTACCTCCTCTATAAGACAGGAGTAGCAGTAAGTACAGGCAGGGACACACGTCTATGATGGAGGGTGTCCCAGAGGTGATAAGGATGAGCCCAGGATGAATGATGCCTTGTGAATACCCTATTTCCCGGTATCACTGTGGAGAGCTTTGGGGTGTTCTAATGTGTCCTCATAATCATGATGGAAAGCCTTGGGGTTCTCTGAGAGCTGCCTTGATCTTCATGGAGAGTGCTCTGAAGTGTCCCCCTGTTCACTGTGGAGAGCCTTAGGGTTCTCTTAAATGTTTTTCTTGGGCCCAGTGAAATAGAAGATGGCCAATTAAGGAATAATTACGAGAGCTAAGCATATATTTCCACATATAGAATGATTTTTGACCCTTTACAATAGTCAATTAACAATAATGTTCACATATTCTGAAGTTATAGTCAGTAGATTCATCAACCATTGCTCCAACTCATCTTTGGCTTAACCTGCTAGGTCTTTTTCAGAAGCACTCTGGTTATTCACATCTTATGTATTTTTTAAAGCTAAAGGTTTTATAGTCATTTGAAATATCATTGTTATAGTTCTGCTTTTCAGCTCTTCAGATGGTTTTAGACGTCTTTTCTGTAATCCTTTTGATGTACTAGCTTGTTCGAGTTGATTGTGCCTTTGACTTCTTACGTTTTTATCATTTGTTTGTCTGATTCTAGTGCATGGGTGAAGGATTCTTGTGCTACAACACACATGTAGATGTCAGAGGGCAATTATTAGCAGTCACTTCTCTCCTCCTACCTTGTGGAGGCCAGGGATTGAACTCAGATTTTCTGGTTTGTCATGAAGCATCTTGGTCCACACCCCACCAGCCCCTTTGTCTTCTTTACCTCCATAACTCATCAGTTTTTAATATGCATAGATGTTGGTGGCAAAAGAAAACAAAATGAAAACAAATGAAAAAACAAATAAAATAGCCTTTACTGAGATTGCCTTAAGAAGACCTATAGGATTTGTTTTTCACTTCTATTTGAACTTATTGGAAACTGAATTTACCCCCATGATATATGTATGTGTGTATATATATATATATATATATATATATATAATTTCTACAGTATGCTCTGGGGATCATTTTCTCCTGTGAAATCCCCTCCTATGGCTTAGGATCAGGGTGTCCCTTTTCAGTGAGTATCATCTTGGTGTGGCCTGAGCTAACTGAACCATGAACACTGTACTTTTGGCTCACATTTGTTGACCTGGCCATATTCAGCTACAAGGGAATCTACCTCTAAACCTGTTCTCTGCACATTCAACAAAAATTGAGCGCTGCTTTTGTGGCAATGACCATAAATCCAGCCACACTGTTTGAACTGAGCACAGCTTCTGACCCCACCAGCGTGAGATTCTGGGACTACTCTGCGGACTGACACCGAGTATTTTCCTACAAATCTCAGGGAATGAGATATGCTATTTTAAAAGTTTGAAATACTGAGAAAGATTGGATATATTAAAGTCAGTTCTTAGAAAAACTTAAGCAAACCAGTCATGGGAATGGCACACACAGCTCCTTTAGAACGGCATCGTGAAAATGCAGATAGCATTTTGGATATGCACACATTTGATGAACTGGGAAGGTTCATGTGCATTTTAAAAGTGAAAACAAAGATTTGAATTTCATAATTTGTGTGATTTTCTGGGTTAAAAGAGTGACAGTCCATTTTTACAGGTCTCTCTATGCCACGTATAAGAAGAACTAAGATAGAAATTGCAGCAAATCAACCACAAACCCAACACATACCTGTCTTTCCTGTTGATTGGCTCAGTAGAGTAGCTCAGTGCATTCAACTTAGAACACAGTGGGAGGAGTGGGCCTGAAGCTTGATATACTCCATCTAAATCCCTGCTTAGTTACTAACCAATATTGTAACCTGTGATGAAGTACTTTTCTGTGCCCAGATTTCCTCTCGTCTGCAACGTGAAAAAGATTTTACCTTGAAGAAGATCAGGAGGAAAATATCAAAAATATTGACATTATCCTTCCTTCATCTTAGAAAGTATTATTACTAGATTATTGTAGAATTTCCCCAAAACTCATCATCATGTTTTAGTTTTTATTAAAAGGCTTATTTTGGAAAAAAAATAATATTTAAGAAGCCATTTCAAAATTATAGAAATGTTATAGAGAGAACTCATTTTATAAAATAACGAGTTTCTACCAAAAATTCAAGACCAAAAGCCATATTAAATGATAATCCCATGAAAACATGAAATAAAACACAATTGTCCACACTAAAATAGCCCCATGAAGACCTAGAAGCAGAGGTGGTTGCTTGAAGACAGACCTGTGGAGACACGGGTTGGTGAAGAAGCATCCACACTAAGGCCCATGAAGATGTGGACTGATGCAGGCATGTCTAGTGAAGATAGAATCGTGAAGACACAGACTGACACACTAAGACAACACTAAGCAATTTTCTACAGAAGCCATGTGATACAATATGCTATTTTATTTTATTTTATTTTATTTTTTTAACTTTTTTTTTATTGAGAAAAGGAAAAAAAAACCAAATTTCCTCCTCCTCCCAGCCTCCCATTTCCCTCCCCCTCCTCCCACCCTTCTCCCCTTCCTCCCACCCTTCTCCCCCTCCCCCCACTCCTCTCCCCCTCCCTCTCCAACCCAAAGAGCAGTCAGGGTTCCCTGCCCTGTGGTAAGTCCTAGGTCCTCCCCCCTCCGTCCATTTCTAGGAAGGTGAACATCCAAACTGGCTAGGCTCCCACAAAGCCAGCACATTACGTAGGTTCAAAACCCCGTGCCATTGTCCTTGGGTTCTCATCAGCCCTCATTGTTCGCCATGTTCAGAGAGTCCAGTTTTATCCCATGCTTTTTCAGTCACAGTCCAGCTGGCCTTGGTGAGCTCCCAATAGATCAGCTCCACTGTCTCAGTGGGTGGGTGCTCCCCTCGTGGTCCCGACTTCTTTGCTCATGTTCTCCCTCCTTCTGCTCCTCATTGGGACCTTGGGAGCTCAGTCCAGTGCTCCAGTGTGGGTCTCTGTCTCTATCTCCATCCATCACCAGATGAAGGTTCTATGATGATATGCAAGATATTCGTCAGTATTGCTCTAGGATAGGGTCATTTCAGGTTCCCTATCCTCAGCTGCCCAAGGAACTAACTGGGGACCTCGGCTTGGGCATCTGGGAGCCACTCTAGGTTCAAGTCTCTTGCCAACCCTAAGGTGGCTCCCTTAACTAAGAATTGTGCTTCCGTGCTCCCCTATGCTATTTTAAAAGGATAAAATGCTGAGAAAATTTGCAAGAGCTGTTTGTGTACCAGAAATTAATAAGTATGATGTAAAAAGTACATTCTCAGCAGTTTAAAAATGTATGATTATCTATAAAGAACTTCAATACCAAAAAGAGAGAAAAACTATAAAACTCAAAGAACTCAAAACTAATGATTAAATGAGTAGATAAATGTGTTGTGCTTTAAATGGGAAACTGTTCTGTTGTTTGAATGGCAATTTTCATCAAAACAATAAATACTAATTCAATCTTCAAAAAATTAATGTATAACCTGATAACTCTGAAATCCATACAAAATGTGTATTTTTTCTGTTAGAACAGGTAGTTTTGAAAAGGAATAGTATATAAAAGAAGGTAGTTTTTATCTCCCTAACACTAAAACATCGACAAACCTACAAAAACAGAATGGGTGATTTTTAATGATAAAAATGACAAATACATCAATGGAATTTCAGTTTCAAACCATACACTCAAAGGTTTATGGAGCACTGGCTATGAGCTGGGAACTCTGTTAAACTACTTCACAGTGATGGGATTGGGTGGTGAGGACTTTGAGAAGTAAAGGGGTAATAGAGGCAAAGCTCCCACCATGGGATTGGTGTCTTTAAGAAGGAGACCCAGAATTCCCTGCTGCTTCCTTCCTGCCCTTTGCTCTTCTACTAAGTGTACAGCTTTGTCCTTCCTCTTTCTTTTTCTGTTTATTTTACATACCAACCACAGTTCCCCCCACCCCACGCACCTCTCCCCACCCCACCCCACTCCCCATCCACTCCTCAGAAAGTGTAAGGCCTCCCATGGGGAGTCAGCAAAGCCTGAAGCTGCCATTTGGTGTAGATTGAGTAGAGAGCTCTTAGCTCCTCCTGTCTTCACCTCCCAGTTCTGGGGTTGCAGGCATGTTCAGCCATGTCCAGCTTCCATAGCGCTTCCTTAGCCAAAAAGACATTCAGAACTTTTATTACATTGTACACATGTGCATGTATACTTGTGTTAGGATGTCTGTACTTCTTTGCATTTCTCGTGCGAATGAGTGAATTCTTCTATCATGTGAACATAAGAATCCATCGTATATGCTTATCATTTGGAACCACTGACTAAAAGTCCTGAATTATAAATTTCTATACAAATCAAGTTAAACATATTTAATTCAAAGTTAAGCTTAAATATGCAGCCAGTCAAGCCAAAATCATACTTCAGTGAATCATACTTCAGTCTAAATATATATGTATATTTTCTCCATCTACAACAGATTGTCATCCTCCTACCATCTTGACAAATTTCCTTTTTTTATTTGCAAACATTATTAACTGTCTACTGTACATATGTATGTATGTATGTATTGCAGTACTGGGGGTTGAGCCTAGGGCCTCCCACATGTCTGTTAAGAGTTCTTCAACAGAGCTCCTCCCACCCCATCTGACCATTTAGACTTTTGTTTTGTTTTGTTTTGTTTTTATTGAGCTATTTATTTTTCTCCACTGCCCTCCCTTCCTTTCCCTTCTCCTTCCGCCCTCTCCATGATCCCCATGCTTCCAATTTACTCAGGAGATCTTGTCTTTTTCTATTTCCCATGTAGATTAGATCCATGTATGTCTCTCTTAGGGTCCTCTTTGTTGTCTGAGTTCTCTGGGATTATGAATTGTAGGCTGGTTTTTCTTTTTTCTTTTCTTTCTTTCTTTCTTTCTTTCTTTCTTTCTTGCCTTTTTTGACTTCTCTCTTTATGTGATGATTAATCTCAGGTACTTGTCTAGTTTTG